AAAGAATAAAATATTACCATATACAGAAATAGACAACAATCTCATCAACACCATACTGAGTAAAAGTCAGACCCCAAAATACAAGATTCTCTTATATAAGACTCCAGAAGAGGCAAAATTAATCTATAGGGACAGTAAGCCAATTAAAATGTGACTCAATCAGGATGGGAAAACTGGGAAGACGACCAAGAGAATTTCCTTGGTTAGTGGGAGCTTTATACAGCTTGACTGTAGTGATGGTTATGCCAGTAGATGAATTTATCCTAAGTTCACCGACTTATACAATTAATACCTGTACAGGGCTGGAGAGATGGCTCAGTGGTCTAAAGCACCTGCTTGGAACAAGCTCAGCAAAGCACAGGGACCGCGGTTCGATCCCCCAGCACCACCTGCCAGCCAGCCCCGCCCCCTGGTGGGCTGAGCTGGCCACACACACACACACACACACACAAATAAATAAAATTAAACAAAAAAATACCTGTATAACTTACATGAAACTCTCAACAGAAATATAAGAAGTGCATGCAGGTATAATTTTAGGGGGAAGTATTTTTTTTGGTGGAACCGGGGATTGAACTCAGGCCCACTCTACTGAGCCATCTCCCCAGCCCTGGGGGAAGTATTAATAGATGTTTTATTTAATTAATACAAATACTGAGCCATTTCTCTGGGGAAGGTACTTCTGAGGGCTCAGTGGTAAAACACATGCTTTACTGCATGTGAAGCCCTGCGTTCAAGCCTCACTGGAGTCCACAAATATTCTACAAGTTATGAAGGCTGAAAAACTATTTTCCTTCAGAATTATCTCCTCTTCCCCCTTTACAAATGAACATAACATTTTTAGGGGAACATCAGATTCAGAAGATGTACGCTAGGCCTGATGAAGTATGCAGAGTAGGAAATGCTTTTATTTTCTGACAATTTATCTGTAAAGTGGGTATATGACCTTTCTTATGGCCTGACTCAGTAGCAAAGATCATCAAACTAAAACTGGTCACAGTCCTTTAACCGCTGTAATACAAAAGTCAAAGCATTCAATATTTTGCCACATTAAGGCTCCTTCCTGTTTCAGATCAAATTAGTGAATATAAAAGCTGCAGGCAAGATAAGCTCAGTCCCCATGCGACATCTGAAAAAGGCAGCTTTGTTCCTGAACCAGAGGCAGAGAGAGTTTTGCGTTGGAGTACTTGAATACGTTTTTATATTGCATATAAAGCATATAAGCATAAACCAGTAAGATGCCCTGCTGAAAACTACCTTCGTTGTGAAAGCAGGCTGTAATTCTGTACAAGTTTTCAATTTTCACACTGCTGCTAGGGTAAAACATTTTAAAGAGTTTAATTTTTTACAATGGATTCAATGACATAGGATTATCTAACAAAGTAATGGCTAATCAATAGAAGGTTTAGTTGTCAGGTGAAACATATAACACACTAAAAGGGATTGATTGCCAGGCTTCTCCTTATTTACTAGAAGGTATATATTTAAAATGGCACAAACTTGTTACCAGGGTGCATTCTTTTAACCTTGCAAAAAGCTGCTTCAAGAAATCTGTTCAACAGCCCAATAGCAAAACAAGAGCTAGTATAATGAAAATGGCCCGTAATTGAGGATGGGGTGGGATGGGAAGAAGAGGGACTTTCAGATACACAACATCAAATCATGTTCTAAGCAAGAACATGTGACAGAAAAGGCAAACTACAAAGTGAAACCTAGGGAAACTGGATCTGAGCTTTAAAAAGCCACCCAGATGCTATGGAATCTTGTTCAAGAGATGCAAAGCTGTATCCAATCTCATTCCATGGTTGTTCTTAGGTCAAGGTTTTTGTTTTGTTTTTAGTATTCATGCAGCTGGGCACACTAAGCTTCTTTCTTTTCTTCCTCGTTTAACAATTTTTTTATAAATGGTATATCCAGATTAAGCACTGAATGCAAAATGAATTGGGCCCATATGGACTCTGATCAGCACGTAAGCGGTTTCCTTTATAATTTACTCACAGTATTTCAATTCTCTATATGAAAATACTTTTTATGGTCATTGCAACCCAGGAGTTCAATAATATTTTTTCTACTAAGTCAGTGATTACACCATTTATCAAAGAATAATTACACTGAAATAAAAATAAAACAAAATACTAACCTCCTACACAGTCTTCCTTCCTCAAAGTAATTTTAAGAAAGCTGGTTATTAAATTGTTTCTTTTTGAAGGGTTTTTGTAGGTAGGTACAAATTGCCAAACATGTTGTTTTTTTTTTAAATGTTATTAGACTCTGAAGGATTCCGCAGAAGTGAGGAGTTATATAAACAAATCACTTCATCAGATTTAGAAAGATCACTTTTGTCTTACTTAAGAGACTTACATTAATTACCTTTAAGGTCTTTTACATGGACTATTTAAAATATGTACAATTTATTTATTTATTTCAAATGAGGTGCTTCTTCCAAAGTATTAAATAATGTCTACAAATGCAAAAGCATTTTTATAAATAGGTAATTAAAACAGATGACTAAAATTAAGTCAAGCTGCAAAACATTACCCAGAATGCACAATGATTTTTTTTTTTTTAATAAACATCTCAAGCAATTTTTTTTCCACCCAAAGCCCAAAGCACTTCTGGAAAACGAAAAAAGACAGGAAATTTCACAGTGTAAAAAAGCACGTATACAATGAAATAAGGCCAGACCCTAAACTATTTACAAGATAGTCCCTCAAGCAGTTTGTCATACTGCAATTCACCTTGACTACCGCCCAGCCAAAGTGCCTACTACTGCCACTAGAGGGAGAAGTGTCTCAACACAAAGCAATGGCAGACAGGGAGTGGGTTTTCTTGAGCAATTATCAGAACAAAGCTCCCTTGGCTGCATGTACCTTCTAATTACTCAATACAATTAAAATGACTAACCTAAAACAAATAGAAAAAAAAAAAAAAAACCTGCCTGCCTGATAGCAGGGACTTCATTAAACCTTTCCCCTTCATCAATCAAATCAAAGAAGGGAAAGCCATCATCTATGAACATTACAGAGCTATTAAAGGAAGCAAATTCTGTGAGGTTTGATTTTCTTTTTAAGAAAGAAAAGAGGTGGCTCTCTTGAAAAAAAGAAATGTCATGGTATTTACCCATCTGGATGCTGCTTGAAAACAAACTGTCCTCCAAAGAACAGAAATACAGTATGTTTTCTTGCAGTTCACTGGCTTATGAATGACTTTTTGTTGTTGTTGTTGTTTTGTTAATACACACTATAATGTCATTTTCTGTCAGTGATGTGCTTTTTTCCTCCTACTCATCCAGCTGTGTAGAAAGAAGCTATGCTCATCTGACTTCCAAGCTTATCCTGGCTGTTTTAACTTTGAGCTCCTCGCTGCTGTTTTTTTGTGGATCTACTCCAAGGTGAGAACAAACTATAGGAATTTTTGAGGGGAGGGAAATATAGTAGGTAAAGAAAGCAGTTTCTTTCTTTCTTTTTTTTTTTATGAGCAGAATATATTTACTGAGGAAAAGAAAGCTCCTGTCTGAGAGAGGGACAGAAGAGGGGCCCGAGTGGGTAGTCCCCAAAAAGCAGTTTCTTATTCCTTCTTTTTTTTTAGAACCAGGGATTGAACACAGGCCCTTGCGCTTGCCAGGAAAGCGCTTATTCCACAGAGCCATCTCCCCGGCCTCTTATTCCTTCTAAAGGCAATGTAGTTCCTTTAATAAGGCCCAGTCATTAACAGAAGATGATAACAGAGTCATTTTTCTTTTGGCTGACAATTGTGACATTTTTCCAGCAGTGTGTAAGGTGGTGAAAACCTGGCAGCTGTTACCTCCTGGGAGGAAGATACTTTTTTATCCTCCCCTGACAGTTTAACTCAGTGGGTCAGCACCTTAAAGATCGCAAAGTATCCTTGAAGAGGATGGAAGCCTGAATTACTGCTCCCTCCCTAATCGATGTAAACCCTCACTGCAGGTGAAGTCTCCTCTGTAGAGGTGCATGGGGGAGGAAAATGTAATGCCCTGAGCCAGATGGCTTTTATCTTGTTTTTAAAGAATAAAGGAACAAGCTAACAAGAGAGACAGCCACTTTGTTAGCTTCTTGGCCTCTCTCATGGCTTTGCATCCCCAGGGTTCCAGCCACACAAGAGAGACTACAGAAAAACATAAACACTTAAAAAAATGTAACTAGAGGGCTGGCATCATGCTGCTTTCAAAGAGTTCAGAGAGCTCTACTCAATGCTTTATTTATCACTGCCCACATCCCAGGATGGAAAGTGGACACATACACAAAGGAAATGGGGGATGGGAGAAGGATTAGACAGCAGTCGCAATTTACTCAATTACAGAGAAAGGCAGGGCTGACAGATCCGATTAGCACCAATGTGAAGCAAACGAAGAGTTGCATGTTGTAATGCTACATTTTCAAAAAGTAATGAGTGTTTTCATGTATCCTGCCAGGACTTTGCCTTCTGTAACAGATAACAGTAAGAGCCATGAAAATATTTACTATGATTTTTTTCGGCTTTGCATTTTAGGAGAATAGTGGGGGCGGGGGAGAGAAAAGAACCTATCTACTCTGTACATGCTCTAAACAGAAGTTTGTACTTAATGCCAAGATACAATTATTCCACACCATGAAAAATTGACTTTCTTTATAAGGATACACCATGCTGATATCCTGAAGTAAAAATGAAAAAGCACGTACACAAAATGACTTGGGGACACAGGAAGTAACATCTTTTTCCTTCCATATTCCTTTTCTGTTAATAATGTCTCTGTCCGGTTTGGAATTGCTTTTATGGTGGTTTTTACAAGTTGAGAAATATTCTTTCCTAAAGAGTTTGTGTAAGACTATTATTTCTTTCTCAAATGTTTGCTGAAATCATCATTGAAACCATATGATCATTTGATAATTAAAGGTAGGTAACAGACACAAGACTATTTAAAATTTTCTCATCCTGTGTTAGTTTTGAATTTTATTTTTTTTTCTTTTCAAAGTTTTATTGATAAACATATAGCAATGAGACAGTTTCAAATCAAATCGAAAGTACAGTTTCAACAAATAATACACTGCATACATTCTTCTCAGTGGTTAATTGCTGTACAAGATGCAGACTTGTGATCCTACTTACAAACACCATTAGAAAAAATCATTCTATTCATTAAGAGAATGCAACTATAGATCTATCCCAACCACTTTGAATACACAGATACAAAATGGACATTCATAGTTATACCCCAATTTTTTTTTAAGTTCCGTTGTTGAATATTATAGGTGTGTTGAATTTTATTTTTCAAGGAATTTATCCATTTTATTTTAACTCTCAGATTAACGTATCTCATTTTTATTCTTTTAATGTATGTAAAAACTATAGTGATAACCTTTTGGCTCCTCCAACATTTAAAGTGCTCTCTACAAACTAACATGTGGTTATATCCTGTCAATGGCAAAACTACTTAGAATTAAAAAAAAAAAACAAGCTATAATTTAGTTTAAAATTGGGGGCGGGGAGATGGCTCAGTAGAATAAGTGCTTCTCTGGCAAGTGTAAGGGCCTGAGTTCAATCCCTAGTTCCAAAAGAAAATAATAATAATAATAATAATTTAGTTTAAAATAATACAAAATTGTTAGAACATAACAGAACTTTTATATACTCAATGGTGAAAAAGAGTTTCTGAAATCCCATTAGAAATATCACAAAAGAATCTCAAGTTAAAGGACTGACACGACACCAATCTCAATGTAACAGTAGATAGAAGGTGGCAGCGACCTTACCATTTTTTTGTTTATAGAACAAGACTACAGAGAAACAAACAACAGAGCAGCAAATGGCCCTTCCTTACTGTCATCCACAGTTGACAAAAGGAAGGGATTAAACAGCTTTGTATAGTATTATATCCAGCCTAAAAAAAATCAGTAGTGGGGTAATCAAGTTCAGGGCAGCCTTGGACAGCTGCCCTGTGACCTGCTTCTATTGACCCGTGCTATTCATCACTCTTTCCTAAGACTGAGAGGGCAAACTCCCAGGGAGTGACCACCACAATAGACAGACACAAGCCAACAGTAATCTGGTTCAAGCAAAAAACCAGATGGCACTGCAATAAATTTACAAATCTGCATTCATGGGGCTGTTAAAACACCCAGAAGCTAAAAGACTCTGAGGGCCCCAGGAGGATCGCCTACTTCCCTGTTTGTAAAGGCCACTTCTCTTTCCAAGAGAACTGAGTTCATGCTCTTCACAAAATGAATGGAGATAAAACCCTTTACAAAGAAAGGCGGGGGGCAGGGGCACTCATGACCTAATTAATCTCTAGAGCTTGGATCTCAACAGTGAATGACAAATATTACAAAAATCATTTTGGAGCATGGGAGGGGGGTTGGTAAATTATAATTGAGGGGGTGAAGAGAACCTGCTAAAACAGCAATGAAAAAACAACATTAAATCTCTTTCAAATAATGTACACAACAGATCTTGCAAGTATAAAATGATTCAATAATGTTTGCATTTATTTTTAAAATGAATCAGATTAGTCCCATGTGTGACCTGCTGGTCCATCTGCATGTGCTGGACTTAATAAGCTCGACTCTCTCTCACTTCAGTTTGAAGTACGAGACAGATAAATTTAGTTTAATTTTCAACAGATCAGCCTATCCATTTTCCAAATGGACCATCTGGATCAGCCTATTAAAATTAATTTATAACTTTGCATAGTGAAAATTCGTTTGTTAGCTTAAATAAAGTTGCCAAAACTTTTTGTTGTGCCTTTGTTTTCTTTTAGTTGTTTCCATGTAGTGGGCAGAATATTTCTACCCCCAAGTGTATCTTACTCAATAATGTCCTAGTGATTAACATTTACAGATCAGGTATTTATCTCTAAACAGTTAAAACTGTTTCATCCTCAATTACTGATCACATTTGTTTACAAAGCTTATGAGTTGACTTGATCTACTTAAAGCAATTATTTTTATTAAAAAAAAAAAAAAGAAAGTACTGTCCACAGTAAATTAAAAATGAGTATGTCATGATCTCAAGTACTTTTCTTCCTAAATTAACAGTAGGCAAACTACAGTCTGAATGGCAGAAGTAGAAACACTGGCAACAATGAGTTCTGAGTTTCAAATCACTGAGTCACTGGGCGGCCAAATAGCTCAGTGGATTAAAGTGCCCGCAAGCACCATGCTGAGACAGCAACCGAGACAGGGCGTGGTGGCGCACGCCTGCAATCCCAGCTCTTGGGAGGCTGTAAACAGACAGAACACTATGAGTCGATTCCAGTCTAGAAGTGAGACCTTGAACACCCTGTAGACCTTCCCCTAAAAAAATACAAAAACAAAACCAAATCACTGAGTCACTAAAGTCATCTGATCTATTTAAGTCTTCAGGAGGCTTTGCCGCATAGCTCTGTTTAAAGCACTGCTTGGGTAAATGCAGGCAGGTGCACAGGACCACAGTTCGATTCTCAGCTCCAGAAGCTGTACCAGACCTGCCCTTAAGGCAGCCTGAGCAGCCAAAAATAAAAATTAAAAAAACTCCTTCCTTTTTTTATTTAAGTCTTCATTTTCTTCATTTATAAATTGGAAATTACCCTACAGCAACTTTATAGGATTACTATGGGAATTACACAAGTGTTACATGAATGGTAGTTGCTCAACAAATATTATCTCTCTTCTATATCCTAGAACAATGCCATAAATGCAAGTAATTTAGAAATATTTTTACTGTTATGGAAGCACATTTTACTGATCTTACATTTAAAATGAAAAGGCTGGCAGGGGCTGTGGTACAGCCTAAGCTCCCAGCACTCTGGGAGGCTAAGGCACAAGGGACGCAGGTTAGAACCCAACCCAGGCAATTTGGTGATTTTTGTGTGACAGTCTCTCGCTATGTAGGCCAGGCTGGCTTTAAACTCCTGGTAACCCTCATGGCTCAGTGAGTGCTGGGATTACAGGTGTGTGTCACCATGCCAAGCTCAAAAAAATTGGAAAATTATAATTCAGTGTGAAGGCTGTGGGTTCAATCACTAGAAACACAACAACAAAAACAGGTGGCACACTCTGGCAATACTCACGTACTTGCTTTTGTTTCCAACAAGGAAGGGAGATGCTAAAGGCAGCCACAGGCAGTGAAAAAGAAAGTCTGGCCAGTATTCTAGACACTTAATATTAAAAAAAGAGGCCAGGCATGCAGGCACATGCCTGTAATTCCAGCACTTGGGAGGCTGTAGCAGCCTGGGTGACATAGTGAGTTCAAGACAAGCCTGAATTACACAGCAAGACCCTGCCTCAAAACAAACAAACAAACAATCGGGCCAGGGATGGAGCTCAGCAGCATGGCATCTGCCTGGCCAGTGTGAGGTCCTGACTTTGATTCCTACTACCCAAAAATAAATAAATAAGCATCATGGAGTGAATTTTCACAAGTAAAATGTGCTACTTCTCTGGAAATAAGGCATATATTTAATTTGTATTTATTTTAAACTAATCATAGCAGCTTTTTTTTTTTTTAAGATTGATTGATTGATTGATTTACTGCAGAACAGGGATTGAACTCAGGCCTTTGCGCTTGCCAGGGAAGTGCTTATTCCACTGAGCCATCTCCCCGGGCCCCTACAACAGCTTTCTTATGCAGTGGAGCACACCTATAATCCCAGCTACTCTGGAAGCTGAGGCAGGAGGACCACAAGATGGGACACCAGCCTGGGCAACTTAGATCTTGTCTCAAAATGAAATTTCAAAAAGACTGTGACATACCTCAGTGCATGTTAGGCACCTGACTAACATATATGATATTGTGGGTTTGGTCCCCAGTACTGGAGGTGAAGACTATTTCTACTAACCCAAACCAAATAAAAGGAGCTAATTAGAGGCAAATCCGTCCTGGGCTTTTTGTTACTGTTGTTGTTGTTTTTAATGTAAAAGCAATCTTAACAGGAAAATTAAGTTTTAGAGTCAACTACTTTACCATTTGTTTCTGGGTTTTTCCTGGTCTTGGTCTGCTAGAGACAGGTCTCGCTATGCGGTTCAGGCTGGCTCTGAGCTCCCTCTGTACCCCAGGCTGGCCTCAAACTTGCAGTGATCCTCCTGCCTCAGTCCTCTGAGCGCAGGGACTACAAGCCTTCACCACCACGCCCAGTTTCTAACATCTATACTTAAAATGCACTTTAGTTCTTTTTTTAAAACAAAAACCCTTTTCTTCTCATTATTTTCACATTCACTACATGTACCCGTCTTATACTTCTGCATATAGGATCTTCTTGAAAAGACTGGAAAATGATGTTACCTGCCTGAAGTTGCTGGCTATGGTCAGACCAACTTTAGAGCACAGGACTCTTATTTTAAGCTCCAATGCGTAAAGAATGGCAAATCAAGGGTTTACTATCTTTTTTCTTTTGTTGTTGGTAGCTTTTTATTTTTAAGTAAGTCTGAATTTCATACCTGTCTAAGTGAATTCTTCTCTGGTATTATCTTCCTAGGGGGTTCGCCATTATTACAGTCTTCTCTCTCAGAGGAATTCTGCGAAAGAAAGTAAGCTTTAATGCAGTTCTCATTATCTTCAATCTTATTCTGTGGGAGTAAACTGAATTACATTTCTAACTCTGTAAGCTACATCATACATTATATATATATATATATATATATACACACACACACACACATTCATTCACCTGAAGTTTTATATGGATAGCAACATACAGATACGTAAAGGAAAAATGTGCCCATGTATATAAATGAGCATCAGATGTGGATGTGGAGTATTTCATCTGTTTAAGCCCCACCCACAAGATCACACTGATTAGAAGCCAAATTTGCCACCTTTCAACACAGGTTGACACTGGGCACAAGAAAGTTTCAGCTCATACTTAGCTGATGACAAAACACAATTATTATCTTCTCCTTTAAGCAGTCTGCGACTACTGTAAATGTCTGTGTGGTACAGATCTCTACCTCTTGGTCCTCTTCTTAGATTTGGTTTTCTTTTTTCCAATTATGGAAGCACAGTTCTTATCGTAAAAGGGAGTCCATTCCTTGTCACTATCAGCTCAAGTAGTAGCTTAAAAACCCTAACATATCAATGGGATTTTTATACATTATGGAGAGTGAAAAAAACAATAATTAAAAATTGAGCTCAAAAGTGCTAAAAATCTGCTAGCTAACATAAGACATCACTACTTGTAAGGCAAAATATAGAAAATCGAAACTATATATTATTTGGCTTCTATTTCCTACTACCAAATTTGTAGCATTAACATTTTAAGATTTATTGGTGATGGGTTCTTTGAGATACACACAGCCATCACATTTTAACTGAAGAGTGACTTCATTTTCAGATCCAAAAATTATTTCCTATGTGAGTTTATTTGAATATTTTACACACATATGAAATTATTCTAATCATTACTGTGTTTTAAACTTAAAGATAGTACTTTCCTGGCTTATATCCGATACTATATTTTGAAAGACACTGAAAGATGAAAATGTACTACCATTTGAAGGTTTCGCCACTGTTTGAGTGGTTTACGTTTGTTGTGTGCCACCATTTGTTGCCTTGACAGACCAGGACTCCCAAGTATTCCCCTGGTGGGCTTAACATGCTATTTTACATCTGTGATGATCATAGTTTTATGGCAAAGGTTCCAAAAGTTAAGTCAAAAAAGAAAAGTACACTATACAACAAGAAGGGGTGGAAAGCCAAGAACTTCAGAGCTGTAACTTCTTTTCCTCCCTTAATGTCTATGAAACATGACAAATGAAAACAGAAAGTATTGTTAAAAATAATAAGGGCCGGGGGCAAGCACAAGGTCCTGAGTTCAATCCCCAGTATCACACACACACACACACACACACACACACACACCTCAACAAATAAGAAAAAGAAAGAAAAATATAAACATTGTTGTAGATAGTTCTAGCTCATTTTATTTTAATTATTTTTGAGACAGGCCCTCATATAATGCAGGCTGGCCATCAACTCACTTATGTAGCCTAGGCTGGAGTCAAATTCATGGAGATCCCCCTGCTTCAGCCCCAAGAGTGTTTGGATTATAGGTGTGTGCAACCACATCTGGCTTCTAGCTCTTCTTCAATAGATCAACCCAACATTTTTTCTCTGGACCATCCATCACAAGAAATCAGAAAAAATCCAAAGCTGTTGTTCCATAAAACAAAGGAGAAGGATTAAACCCAATAATGAGGATAAGAAATAGGTACCCTCCTAACGGAGATGAGGAGATGCAGAAGCCAGAGAAGGGCGGCTGAGAATGAGGAAACACCAACTCATCCCTAAGTGGTCACTTCGGTGGTTCTAGCAGCTCTTCAACATCACTCAAGAGAGTTCACCAACAGTCATTCCTTGCACTCTTTATATGAGGAATCCCAATAAATAATGTGCTGAACTGCGTGGGTCAACAAGTTAAATTCTGTCTAACAAATTATATTTAGGAGAAACTGATTCAAACAAGAAATTATCTTTAAGTGCTAAAATTAGCAGGTCAAAGTGGCAGGATAGCTATATAATCTCAAAATATTTCTGCATGGAACATTTAAGAACTACAAAAGGAAAACAGTGACCTTACAAGGGAGAACTCTAACGACACCACCGTAGTATTATGTGCCACCTGATGTAGTGTGCTGAGAAGAAAATGACATTACTTGTCTGGCATCCCTGCCATAGACATAAAACTTAAATTTACTCTTAAGAAAATAGACTAACCCAAAATCAAGGACATCTTAAAAATTTACAGACTATTCTGAACAACAACAAAGAACAATGTTTTAGATTAAAGGAAACCAAAGAGAGATAACAATTTTGTGACCTAAGCTTTCTTTTTCCCTGCAGATGTGGATGTGCTAACCACACTATCCACATTAAATTCTAGATTGTTTTCCTGCTTTTAAAATATGCATAGAGAAATCCAACTCTTTTTTTTTAATATTTTATTTTTATTTATTACATTTTATTTATTGTGTGTGTGTGTGGCCAGCTCAGCCCACCAGGGGGCGGGGCTGGCTGGCATG